ATGGGCAGCATCCAAGGCAATATGTGGCAAGATGTCAACTCCAAAGGGTTTAAGTGGCTACTCCCCTATGGTACTTCCAGTGGTTGTAGCTCCCATTGCTTCTCTCTTGGGCCTCCTCTGTTCCCTTCTGCAGTTTTCCTGAGAAGATCCACATTCCTGGCTTCTCTAAACTTCTGGGGTCTCACTGGACCCTTGACTTCACACTCACACTTTCACACACTGCCTTCTTGGGGGCACACTGCCTAGTCTCCTAGGCCTTCTTCTGAAATCTGGGTGGAAGCCTTCCTGACCCCACAGCTCTTGTATTCTACATGTGCCTAAAACCAGCACCACATGGATGATGCCAGGGTTTGCTGCCAGCTGGAGCAGTAGCCAAATTTCTCTCTTGGCCGTAGGGTTTGAGTGCCTGGATTGCTAAACACTCTGAATCCAATCCCAAAGAACAAATTATCTAGTGTGCCACCATTCAGGAACATGGTGCTCTGGGGCCTTCATCTCCAAGGAAAGTCTTCCACTTTTGCAATTTTGAGGCTGCAAAGGGTGGAGTTCTGGTGCTTCTTGTGATGCCCTTAGAATATCTTTTCTATTCTCCTGTTTCTTCTCAGCAACTGAGTTCTCCTCTGCTTTATCTTTGCAATCTACTGCTTTACTGGAGCTTCCTTTCTGGCCAAATTCACAATGTCTTAAATCATTATGATGGGCCCTTTGCTCTTGATTCTCAACATATATCTGGCCAAAAGCCCCCAATAGTAGCCATGCCACCACTTCAATGTTAGACTGCCTTGAAATTTCTTTTGCCCAGTTAATTAGTCTAACACCCTAATCTTAGTCTCAGGCAAAGTCTCTGGACACAAGCAAAATGCAGACAAACTTTCTGCTAAGCCATAACACACATCATCTGAAGTCCAACAGCCCATGCAGTCCTTCTCAGCAGAAACCACCAGAGCCTTGGCTTTACTGGCAGGATTTCTATCAGCCTCTGGTCTTCTGAGCTCTGACCAGAATCTCCCATACAGTACAGCCTAAAAAGGCTCCTGAACCACATGGACAGGTAGTCATAGTAACAACCCTACTTGTCTGGTACCAAATTCTATCTTAGTTACTTTTCTCATTGCTAGGACAAAATGCTCAATACCCAAAGTTAAAAGGGTAAAGGTTTATTTTCCTCACATATTGTAGAGATTTCAATCCATTCCACTGGCTCCAATGCAGGGTGGCACATGGCAGAGGGGCAACACTTCATGGTGGCAGAAGACAGCAAAAGCAACAAGAGAGGCAGCCTGGGCAATTTAGCAGTTTTAGTGAAACCCTGTCTCAAAAATTTAAAAAGGATTGGGGCTTTAGTCAGTGTAAAGACCCCAGATTCAATCCCCCATAGCATCAACCCCCCCCCAACAACCCCTGAAAACAAACAAGCAAAAAAGCGACACAAAATCTGGTAATCATTTAAAACATAAAATCTCAAAACAAAAGAACAGGGTGTGGTGGCACACACTTAGAATCCCAGCTACTTCAGAGGCTAATGCAGGAAGATTACAAGTTTGAGGCCAGCCTGTGTAACTTAGTGATTTAGAGAGAATCTGTCTCAAAATTTAAAACAAACAAGCAAATAAAAAGAGAAAGGGCTGGGTTAAGCCAGTGGCACATGCACCTTCAATCCCAGCACCCTGGGAGATTGAGGCAGGAGGGTTGCAAGTTGGAGCCCTTTTGGGCAGTTTAGCAATTTAGTGACACCCTCTCTCAAAACAATGATAAAAATAAATAAATAAAGTGTTGAAGATGCATTTCCATATGAAGGCCCTGGGTTCAACGCCCGATATAGCAAACAACCAACCAACAAACCTACCCACTGATAAAGCACTCAAGGATCTATTTGAAAACAGGTTAAAACCTGCAGATTATATCAGTCAAAGTAAAAAATCATATTATAATCTCTTAGGGTTTCTGGTGGGGTTTTTTTGTTTGTTTGTTTGTTTGTTTTGAGACAGGGTCTTGCAGTATAGTTCAGGCTGGCCTGGAGCTTATAGTGATCCTCCTGCCTCAGCCTCCCAAGTGCTGGGATTATTGGCATGCATACCATGCCAAGCATGGTTTCTCTTTAGGGGCCCAGGATATAGCTCAGCAGGCACAGTACCTACTCCATAAGCACAAGGTCTTAAGTTCAATTCCTAGTACCAAAAAACAAAAAAAAAGGCATGATTTCTCTTTAGTTCTAGTTCCAACAGTCAGTCATTACATAACCTGGGATAAATTAATTCCCTAAAAAGCTGAATTGAGATGTATGAGTGCTTTTTTTTTTACTATTTATTTATATTTTGTGGTTCAACATCTTAGCCAAGCACTCTCCCAGTGAGCTACACACTCAGACCCTCCCTAGATGTTATCTTAAAGTGATTTTAATTTCCTTTTAAAATTTGTAATAGGCCCTCTAATAATTTCAGAAATTTGGTTACTTTTGTGTTCAGAGTAGATCACAAATATATGTTGCACTTTTCTTCCAATATAACTTACAGATGGACTTTGAACAATTCACAATTATTTCAAGGCAGACAATGACCAATTCATTTTATTATGAAGTAAAATATACACAATAGGAAATGTACATGTAACCTAAAGAACAGTGGCAAGCTGGGTATGGGGTACAGCCCTGTGATTCCAGTATTCTAGGAGGCTGGGGACTGCAACTTCCAGCACAGCTTAGTGATTTAGCAAGACCATTTCTCAAATCTAAAAGTTAGAAAGAAAAGGGCTGAGGATGTAACCTAGTGCAAAGGCCGAGTTCAACCCCCAGTACCAAACTCTAAAAAAAGAAAAAACAGTAACAAAGGCAGGCCAAAAAAATTTTTTTCTAAAAAAAAGAGACAGGGTCTCACTATGTCGTTCAGGCTGGCCTCAAACTTGGGGACACCCTGCCTCAGCCTCTGGAGTGCTAGGATTACAGATGTGTGTCACCAGACCCAGCAAAAAGAGTATTTTTGAAACATTTGTTTAACGTCCTTTCAGAAAAGCAGAGTGCTACATGGAAAAAGGGTGAAAATAGGCATGAATTGCAGTACCCGTCTTGCCAACTCTGCTCAGCAAGCCATCCTTTATGGGACCTTCCCCCTTCAGAGAGCAGAAGTCTTTGAGGAGGCTCCCCCTACTGCCACTTTAAGGCAGGGATTTAGCAAAATGCTCCTCCCAACTACACTCAGAATTCTCTTTTGGAGGAAATCCACTAGTCCAATTTTCTCCATCTCATTAGATTTCCAGTGATTTGTTTATATTGTGGTACTGAGGATCAAACCCAGGATCTCCTATCTGCTAAGTAAAGACTTTACTACCAAGCCACATCTCCAGCCCTCCAGTGTGTGTGCGTGAAAGGCCTTTCTTTATAGGCTTTAAAATACAGTCATAAAGCACATATTCATTTTAAATAATGTAACATTTTGGATATCCAGCTATCCAGTGATATTTCACTAGTATTCATAGATTGGGCCAAAATGTTCTCCTTAATCTACTTTTCTCCTCTTTTACTTTTTTTTGAGACAGGGTCTTGCTATAGTTCAGGCTGGCTTTGAACTCAGAGGGATCCTCCTGCCTCTGCTTCCTGAGTGCTGAGATTACAGGCATGCACCACTAAGCACAGCTTTTATATTTTACTTCTCTTTGGATGGGCTATCCACATACATTTCTGTTAGACCACAATCTCTTAGGAGAGGCATCATGACTTCCCAAACACACTGGAGTTGTCAAGAACAGGGACTTTACTGAGCATCCAAAGAACCCACATTGGTTTTGCAGCAGGTTCCATAATGAAAGCACTTCCTGAGTGACTTTAGATGTGTAAAATTATTATGAAACAGGATCTCTATTAACAAGGATATCATCACGCTCATATTCTTCACTGCCAGAAAAGGGAATTGTGGAAAAATTAGTTACTCATTCCTTTGTTCCTCTATTACTTTGTACCTTTTTTCGGCATAAGCACTTATCACATTATTGTAATTATCTGATAGCTTGTAATTATTTAATAGCTAATCATCTTGTTTTATTAAGTGACCTGATACCTAGAACAATACCTATCACTGGGTACTTACATCAGTTTAGTGAATGAGAAGATAGCACATATTTTTTTTTTTTTAGTACGAGAATTGAATTCAGGACCTCATGCTTGCCAGGCAGGCGCTGTGCCACTGAGCTATATCCCAATCCCTGATAGCAAATATTTCAATAGATGGCTTTTATATTCATTTTTGAAAGAAGACCCTCTTGTGAGCAGACACCTGGTGAGTTGTCTATACTAGCTAGCTGTCTCATGACCTCTTTTTTTGTTTTTGCTTCCCTTTCTCTCTCTCCCTCATCCCCTCCTTTCTTTTTCAAGTACTGGGTACTGAACCCAGGAGCACTTTATACTGAGTTCTATCTCAAGACCTTTTTGAGACTAGGTGTCTCCAAATCCAAGCTAGTCTTGAATTTATGATCCTCCTGCCCCAGGTGCAAAGTCCTCAGATTACAGGTATGAACCACCATGCGCTGTCCTTATTTCTTCAGATCTGTTAAACTACATTATTGGAGCCAGGTGTGCAGACAGACACATTCCTGTAGTCTCGGCACTGGGGAGGCTGAGGCACGTGGCTCGCTGTGAGTTCAAGGCCGGTCTGAGCTAAATGAGGCTTTGGCTTACAAAATTTGCATAGAACCAGGGTCAGTGGGCTCGAGAGTTTTGACCCCCTGCCTTTTCCGTAAAGTTAAGAACCACAAAGATTAAATGGGCTGGTAGTTACCTACTGCACTACTCCACTACTTGCACTGTGACCGAAATAACAAAACGTGTGAAAACTCTAGTGTCTGTCGTTGTCTACCCACTCATACACTCTCTCGACCTTCTTGCTGGTGCCTGTTCAGGGCCCCACAGCTTGGCCTCAAAGGTCAGGTGGGACAGATTCTAATGAATCTTTTGTGTGTGTGTGTGTGTCCTTTTGAGACAGGATCTCACTATGCAGTTCAGGCTGGCCTTGAGCTCACTTTGTAGCCCAGGCTGGCCTGGAACTCACACCTCCTGCCTCAGCCTCCTAAGTGCTGTCTAATGCATCTTTTGAATGCTGACTCTCCGAATCCCACCCCTTAGCGCCTCCTAAGGGACCCCGACCTGCCCACTGTAAAACGAGCGCCTCCCACAGACGCGAACAGCAGCGCTGTGCGGGTTCAGGGGGGGAGCTGGACGATGGGCATCTACTACGCAGACGGAGGGATCGGCCGCACAGTGGGAAGCCGCCAGCTGGGCGATCAGAAGTCCTTCACCGAGTCGCTGGGTTCGGGCAGCGCGTCCAGCTAACCGGGACGGGGCCGAGAACCCTCAGCTCGCCCCCGAGGCGAGCTTATTCCGGGTGGGGCCGGAGCATCCTCTTCGCCGCTTGCCCGCCCGCCTCATGCACTCCCCGGAGGTCCTGCATTTCCCGCAGCCGGCGGCTTTGAAAACAGCCTCGGGAGCAAAACTTGGGTCTGGAAACGGGCGAAGGAGAAAAAACCTCACGGCGGCGTTGTGAGCAGCTCAATGCAGGGCGGCCTGAAAGAGCCCCGAACGCGGACGCGGCGCCACAGCGACCTGCGAGGTTGCCCCTGGCGCTCACCTTCGGCCGCCTCCGCGCAGTCCCGTCCCTTTCCGCCAGCCGCAGCTCGGCCCCGGTTCCCGGCGGGCACTCCTACCCTGGGCCGCCCGCCCAGCCCGCTTCACGCCTCGGGCGGTTCGGCACCTCGACCCGAGGGCGCGTCCCCCTCTCCCAGACCCCCGGTAGTGCCCAGCCCTCGCCAACGCCCGGGCT